ATTGAAACAACAAACATGGTAGTGTTAGTAATTAATAATAGGAACGTTAATGGTCTCTCAGTCTCTCTCGCGAGCACACTTAGTCAGCCTCGCGCATACCTGCACACTTGGTGTACCTTGCGTGCATTCGGTCTCTGCTTTCGCTTGACTTTTGTTCAGTCTGGACAACATGTCTTCTATGTGGTGATTGGTTGGCACTTAGCAATGCCAGAATGCGTTGTCGATGTAAACAGGAAGATGTGGGTAGACTGCAGCCAAGATTAACTTAGTAGTAAGTAACGAACAAGCGCATCATATTGTTACGATAACATAGTTACTACTGTATATTTAAAAAGTAATGCATTACAGTAATAGTTACTGTCAAAAGTAATGCCGTTACAGTAACATTATACTAATAATGCGTTATTGCCCAACACTTGTGATTAATGCAACTCAACAGCTTCAGAACATATACTGTACATACAAACAAAATTATTATGTGTGACTCCGGACGATATACTGAGGTCTTATGAAGTCAATTTATGAGTCTAAAACTGAACTTTATTTACAGAGTTATTTAATCCACAGCCTCAACAAATGGTCAGTACATCTATAACAGGCTGATTTTTTTAAAAGGTCCATTGTTAATTGACAGTATAGTGTAAACGTATAATACACTGCAGGCAAATTCACATTAATAACTTAAGCATAAGCTAAATCTAAGCCTTTTGAGCTCTAGGTTGCATTGAAGCCTATTGAAATAAACTTCGCTCACAGATTTTCACTTTCCAAATTTCATGTGAAATGACATTCAGATTAAATGAATCAACTAATTGATTTATTTACATGAGGAAAATGCTCCAAATGTTTTATAAGAGATCTCTTGAGTTCATATTGCGAAAACTTAAAATCCGTTGCTTTGAGTTTGATCTGTTGCACGTTTCAAATGACAAATCCACTAGGGGCACTCTACATGTTATGTATATTTGAAATATGTTACTTAGGATACGTTTTGTTGTATGTTTCAGATACATTGTCAGATACAAGTCCATAAGAAGGCAGGGCTTGTCGTAAAGATCACCCAGTGAACCACTGATCTAATCCCCCCCCACCACCCCCCCAAACCAAACCAATATCAATTTCATAAGCAAACATGTGAGAAAAGTAGACTGAAACCACATATATTTACCATGATTGTAAATTTTTTTCATGTTTTAATGGACTTGAATCTGAGCATTCTGTATCACATTTACGACATTGTACAAAGTGAGCTATCAATCAAATTAACCACGGCAGAAAAGTTGTCCGAACTTGAGAAAAACCTATTCGGTTACAAATCATAGACATTGTTAAGTTGTTTTGTGGTATTTATTTGGTGCTGTGAAAACAACTACAGGAAAATAATCCTTCATTTGTTTATAATATTTCTTTATAAGTATCATTAGTGTGAAAAGGATGAAATCCGTAGAATTATGAGTAAGAAATATGTAGAATTAACACCCCATAGTGTTAATTTTACATAGAAATTGCAGTCAAATGTATGTTTAAGTATGTTTAAGAACTCAATTTGTATTTGAAAAAAAAAACCTTTTCTTTATGTAGTCTATCACATACACCTGTCTAAACTAGGAAAATAATGATATGTTGATGAAGATTTTCTAAGCATATCACATACTGTAGTTGTGCTTGGAGATTGTAAAACCTTTGTACTGTACAGTATGTGCTCCAGGTTTCATTCTATGAGAAACATCTAATATCTGGTTCATACTTGCATGACACATAACTGAGACCACCTGAGCAATAAAAGTTTCCTTTGAGAGCACATATCCACCTGTACTCTCATCATGTGTTCAATAAACCGCTGGAACACTTCACAGCCCCCCCAAATGCATGCCAGATATACTGTAGAGATACCAGTTTGAAGTTAGTGTTGAAAAATAAGCATCAATCTTCATGCTGTCAAAACAGAGCCCAGAGGCAAGTGACCTCACACGCTTCAGACGGTGTGCTTTCTCTGTCAGGGCTGGCTCACATTTGGGTCGTTGCCCTCTTATGTTGTCACATATCTCAGGATTTTGCACATGAGGTAATGCTGTGTAACCCGAGGGATTGTTTTTCTGTCATGGAACATCATTTTCTGAACAGATATGCAGGAAATTGCTGTAGTATGATTTCTTTTGTGGGTCAATGTGAGCTGAAAGTGTATTTTTGTCCCTGTTTACATCTGAAATTAAGGTGTTTTTGTCATTTCAAACACTACTGCAGGTGATGCTAAACAGATGTTCTGAAATGTTTTCATATTGTCAATTTCTAGAGGTAGTCAGAAACACATTGACTGGTTTGCTTTCATTGTGTACAGTAGTTTTTAACAATGTTGTTTTGCAGCAAGGATTCAAACAAAAACCAACATTGTTTGTTGTAGTTTTCCTGCTATTAGAGCAGAAACAAAAAACTGCTGTTCTCTGTTTTCTGTTGTCTCTTTTCAGGTTCATTTGTAAATCACATTAGCTTGTATTGCTATATTATTGAAAGATCATAAAATGGTTACACATATGCTGTTAACGATTTTTGTAAACTATACATTATTTAACCCTAACATGAACTGGGCGATTAATTGGAAAGTAATGGGAATCGACATTCAGAAACTATAATCTAATTATTCAGGTCAATATTTTCAATTACTTTCCCTACCGTGTGTAGAGTCATGTGACCCCACTCTGTTAAGGCTGATTTATACTTCTGCGTCAAACACACGGTATGGTTCGGCACAGCCATCGTGTGTTCGCATACCTGCACACCTCTCAAGAAATCAACTACACGTGGCACGTTTGCACTGAGCCCGATGACGTTTGCACTAGCACGATAATTGGAAGCTACATCAGATGCCTTGAGATGGCAAATTTTCTATTACGATAAAATTATTATTTACATTACAATAATTAATCACTGACGATTCAAGATGTCACTGGTTTGAGCCTCGGCTGGGTCAGTTTGCATTTCTGTGTGGAGTTTGCATGTACTCCCCGTGTTCGCAGGGGTTTCTTCCTGGTGCTCCGGTTTCCCCCACAAGTCCAAAGACATATGGCATAGGTGAATTCGGTAAGTTAAATTGTCCATAGTGTATGTGTGTGAATGAGTGGGTATGAATGTTTCCCAGTGATGGGTTGCAGCTGGAAGGGCATCCGCTGCGTAAAACATATGCTGGATAAGTTAATTCCACTGTGGCGACACCTGATTAATAAAGGGACTAGTCATGGAACGATAACCATTTTCAAGGTGTACCGCGGTTTGAAAAAGGCAAGGTTTTAAAACCGCCAAAACTTTCTGTAATATCGTTCTTAAGGTATGTGTACGATTTTTTATTTACATTTTTTTGCTTTTTTTGGGGGACAACTGTAGACAGCAGAAAAAAATATCCAAATATGCCATTTTAATAGTAAAGAAATCTGTGTTTTTTTAAATAATGAAGACAGCAGAAGTTAATGATTAATTTGTATTACTTTGCCTGGCATGTTTACTGTTCCAAAAGATTATAAAATCTTTAAAAAAAATTAAATATATTGTTTTCAAAGAGGATTTATTATTATTTTTTTTACCCAGACATTTAAAAAGAATATATTTTAATACAATAAACACAATACCGTGAGACCATAAAACCATGATATTTTTATCCATGGCTATCATACCATCAGAATCTTATACTAGCCCATGTCTAAAAGGGACTAAGCCAAAAAGAAAATGAATGAATGAATGCATATAAAAGTTATTTTATTTAGAAGAGATACTGCTTATTTTCTACTTTTAATATGGAAAACACTGGAGATAATACATTTTGTTTCCAAAAGTGCCAAAAAATTATTTATTTTCACTTTTTTTATAAGAAAAAAGTAACTGGTTTAAGGCAGTGTGTGTTTTAATTTCAGATGTTCAACGTTGATGTTCAATAAATAATCATAGATATTTGATTGTGAGATTGTTTCCTTCAATTATTTTAAAATCAAGTAATGCACCTTTCATTGAGAAATCTCTCACTTGTAATTAAAAAAACTTATCAGTGAACTATGAGGGCAAAAACATAAAATAAATAAATAAATAAATATAAAAAATAATCCTTCATTAATTCCAATCGAGTTAAAATGTTCAATCAATCAAGATTTTTATTTTAGGCCAAATCGCACAGCCATAACATGAACTCTTTTTTTACTGTAGGAGAGTTATGCTGTATGTTATTGTATTTTAAAGTTGCATTGTGAAACTTTCCTGTATATTATAATAGATTTACAGTAAGTTACTGGCGAACTGCTGCCATCAAATTACTGTAGATTCTACAGGAAATTGTCAATAGTGTACAATAGGCCATAAACCCTCCTCTCATGAAAGTGAACAAAAGAGATGAGAATGTGTTTCTTTTTTCTACTTCTGAACCAATTATCCAAAATACATTTGTATACCAGGTGTAAACAGGGCATTTGCTTCTTATTATTTATTTATTTATTTTATTATTTATTTTTTAGAATTGTTCACTTACTGAAAATCAACAGAAATTCACATTCATTTGAAATATGTGGAACCTGTATAAACAGTGTACTTTGCATACATTATGCGTTTTTGAATGTTTCAATCTGTAAATGTGAAAAACGTTTAAAATTTATTATTATTTTTTTCTTGATTAGATAAATGTGTGTCCTAATATATGCATTGAGTCCATCAGTTTTTGCTCCACTCGGCTTTAAAAAAAGAATGTGGAAAAGTTCAAAACAAACTGAGATAAAAGTCCAGATGGTAGAACAAATGTTTTATATGCAGAAGACGCATCTGTACACATTTAAATATCAACACAACATCCTTAAATAATTAAGCACGTCAGTTTTCTGAACTGAATTAGTACAAAATTTCAGTTACTTTCATTTATTTCAAAAAATAAAAACATTTAAATCATACACCAATTGGCAGGGTGTGATTTTAGTTTGATGTACTAAATGCTTCTATTTTAATCTATATTCTGTCTTTATTCTCTGCAGGATTGTCTTATATGAGTGCTGCCCAGGTTACATGAAGTTAGAAGGGAAACGTGGGTGCCCTGCAGGTCTGAATTCATTCATATCAGGAATACCGATACTAGATAATATTTTATATTATGATTGCCAGAGTGGTTGTTAGTAGATTGTAATATTTTGCTTGGCTTATCATCCACTGCTCAATAACTGCATATCATGAGGTGTCTGTTGTACAAATACTTTAAAATTCAATGCTGAATGTTAATATATATGGTTATTTATATTGGTATATGCCAACAATTACTGCACATTCGACTTCATTTTAAGGTCATGCTTGGATTAAATGTCAGGTTATTCATTGACTTGGAGTTCAGCAGAGGAGAACCTTAGATTTTGTTCTATAAACAAGACCTGAATCCAGCTGGCTGTATAGTTAAACATGAGGTTAATGTGCCACAGCTAGTCTTGAAGGTTCACATCTTCTGAATGGAGCCTGACTTTGGATTATGTGTTGTATTGTTACTCTGTCTATTTGCTGGAAACCTACATGAGAGTCTTTGTGCTAATGTGAACTCTGTAAACTTTGCTCTTTCACCCAGTGGCCCCCATTGACAGCGTTTATGGCACCTTGGATCTGGTAAAAGCCAAAACCACTCAGCAATATGCGGATCAATCCAAACTGAGGGAAGAAATTGCGGGAGAAGGATCTTATACAATATTTGCGCCCAGTGACGATGCCTGGGAAGAGTTAGATCCTGTGAGTCACTTCTTTCAAGCCGCAGTATTTGCATGCTGTTTAAATCGCTGATCCAATGTGTGTGTTACTAATAAGCATGTTAGAGCTCTCAGTGGAACTTATTCAAAAGAAATAAATTCAGGAACATGTAGTCATGCTTTTCAGATTTTTTCCCAGTGCAAAGCTCTCACGATTGATCAATGTCTTTATATTTGCAGGCATCGAAGGCTGCTGTGATCAGCCTTGGAAACACTGAGCTTTACAATGCACTTCACTATCACATGGTCAGCAAACGGTTTCTCACCAAGGACTTGAAGAATGATATGACCCTGGAGTCCATGTTTAACAAACAAGGCCTCCATATCAATCACTACTCCAATGGAGTATGTTTCTCTTTCCTTCTGATTCACTGTGTGTGAATGAAATCATGCCATTGTATTGCAGTTATTTATGTCATATTTATAAATATTTTGAATATATTCATTTTTAGATTTTCAATTTTCCCTTTATTTAGGTTTCGGTTTTAGAAATGATATTTTATCTTTTGTGTGTGTGTGTGTGTGTGTGTGTGTGTGTGTGTGTGTGTGTGTGTGTGTGTGTGTGTGTGTGTGTGTGTGTGTGTGTGTGTGTGTGTGTGTGTGTGTGTGTGTGTGTGTGTGTGTATTTTCAGCTTTTCTTTTTTTATGAATGTAATCTAATTTTAGTGATTTTTATCAGTTTAACTTAATTTGACTTTAACTTTTTAGTCTAAATGCATTATTTTAGTTTAGTTCAGCTTAAATTAGAACATTGCTACTTGTATTATTTTTGAATAAGTTAATAACTACAACGTAATGTAATAAAAGACCCAGCCATCATTTAGAGAGTTAAATCTGCCATCATTTAGTCCTATTAAAACTCCAGCATGTTATTGTGTGCATGTATGATGTTACTCCTTTAAACATTTATAAGCTTTTCGCGAGTTCTAAGCTAACAATATAAGTTAGTTACTGAGCAAACTGACCACACCACAAAAGTTGTACATATAGAGATAGATAAAGTAGGTGAGGCAAACATGTTTGTTTACTAATCCTACCAATCGTTAGGTTGTTTTGTGGTTTTTATTTGTGGTGTTTTATTTGGGGAAACCGGAGCACACGGATAAAACCCACATGAACATGAGGAGAACATGCAAACTCCACACAAGAAATGCTAACTAACCTAACCGGGGCTCAAACAAGTGACCTTCTTGCTTTGAAGTGACAGTGCTAACCACTGAGCCACCACGTCGCCTGAAGTTCAAAGAACTGTCGATAATATGTCTCTTTAAATATTCCTAATTATATGGAACAGACGTTGTTGTTGTCGTACTGCCCTGTAGCATTCATTTTACCTAGAAACTGTATTCAATTGGATGTCAAAGTAAGATTTAGCATTTTCACATAAATGTAGACATTTCCAATGATCATGTGTTGCAAAATGACTGTACAAACCAACAAATGTATCATTTTTAATTTAGGATTTTGGACAGGACTTCAAGTAAACATATTATTCTCGCTCCTGTTGTTACAAACCTTGATATCTTCATTTGTGTTCCACTGAAGAAATAAAGATATTTTGATGAAAAACTTTATATAATGCAAGTAAGCAACCCTTCCTCTGCTTCAATGGTTTGCAGGTTGTCACTGTGAACTGTGCCAGGATCATTCACGGCAATCAGGTGGCCACTAATGGAGTTGTGCATGTCATTGACCGGGTCATCAGCGTCGTAAGCCAAACAATTAAGGATGTGATTGAAACCAATGATGATCTGTCTTCACTAAGTGTACGTGTTATCATAATCCTTATTTTCTAAATGAATGTGAGCATAGCTCTCTGGAGAGTTGATGGTCTTTTGATAGGAGCCCAGCAAAGATGATCCATATATATAATATGCGTTTACTTTGAGCATTTTCTACACACACAAAAAAAAAAAAAACATTAAATTGTACTGTGTTTGATAGGGAGTTGTAGTGAGTGCAGATCTCCAAGACCAGCTTGGTGAGCCTGGACACTACACACTGTTTGCTCCAACCAACGAAGCCTTTGACAAGATTAACGCCGATGCCCTGGAAAGATTAATGAGTGACCAAACTGTGATTCAAGGTAAATCTAAATACTGTACCTACATTCTGTTAGACCAAAATCATCATTGAGAAAGTATCAAGTATGGGATTCCTGTTGAGGGACTTTGGTCAAAGCTACACTCTGAACAAAGATGCTTCATATTCCTGCAGATCTATTTAGAACCATATTGAAGAACTGTTTTTGTCTGAAATGGTTCTTTGTGTTACATTTTAAGGTTCTTTATTCCCATCTTTTCAATTTTTTTTACATATATAATCTTAGTCAAAATAGTAAAAAAAATATCTTCAAAGCTTCTTGATTATTAATTTACTGGAGGTGAAAAATGTTTTATACAATACAAAAGCACTGATTTTATTGGCAACATGTCAGTTTAGGTGACAATTTATGCTATTGACTTGTTCCCTGGTTTTTATGCTAGTATTATAAGTTAATGGTGCAGTCGGTGATCTGCCACAATGCTAACCGGTTAGCATAATATCTTTGAAACACAGTCCCTCCACTGCTGTCCAAAGCCACGGCTTCTGAAACACTAACACATGCACCTTAAAGATGACCACAGACAACCTACTAGTTTGTGTTATTTGCCAGTTAGAAAACTTTTTTTTAGTGTTAACTTTATAGTAACTTTATAATTCTACAATGCTGAATGAAAAACTGTATTATATCAAGCACTTTTTCAGGTGTGTAGCAAGAAAAACTTGTCATAATGTGCAATATTTCATGCATGCAAGGATAGCTGGTCTCACTCTCTCAAGCATTTTGTCCTAAAGCGACTACTGTATTTTAGCGATTGGCTGGCGGAATTACACTGATTACTAAGCCATACAAACATGAAATTTCATAGCAAGGTCAACAATATAGGGAGCGCATCACAGGTTGTCGATGTTCAAAAATGAACCAATGTGATATGAATATAAAAGCAACTTCACCTCTGTAAAGCAGGCTAGGCGGAGTAGCGCTATTTGCTAATGTTTTGTTACTAAACTAAATAAAAATCTACATTATTGATGCTGTAAAAGGTCCCTTATGAAACTGAAAATAGTCACATCCGTCTTTTACCAGAAGATTTTAGTGGCTGAACTACACTTTCATGCATGTTATCCATTCATAACACACAATCTACATCCGCTTTGCATAAAATACTTTTAAAGCTGAACATTACCTGTCTAAAAGGAATACTTCAGCTATGGTGTCATCCTTCATTCAGCATGCAAAAGAAACTCCAATATTTATTCAGATTTTAAAAAAGTTTTGATCAGCATTTGTTTTTACCACTATGACTCGTGTGCACATGAATGTGCGGCGCATGGCATGCGCAAATGGCGAATCTGCATTACAGATGTGCGGATTGTTCAAAATTATATTTGTTGACAGACTGTTTGGACTACTTATTGGCTAAACATTTTTTAGTCTTATGTCTTACCCAGAATATAAAAATACATATAAATACATTTAGATCATCTACTTTAATCATCACTATTGGAATGTGATGAGACTTTCAACCAGCACGACAACAAATGTTTCTTAAGACATTCACCTACAGCACCTTTAATGGTTTGTTAATAATCTGAATTGTTTTCTAAACTAAAGTGTTACATTTTTTTTAACAAAGAGTCTATAAAATGCCTTTAAGATTACATGAACAGTATACACCTGAAATATGGTTATAGAACCTTTCTATTCGAGCCTAAAAAAGACTCTGTTGTTACTGGAAGTAAAAAAAAAAATCTAATCTGGTACTGTTTACATGTTTCTTAAAAGTTTATTAGCAATTCACCCAAAGTCAGTTTTAACGCCTTATTATACACTGTAAAAATTATTTTTTCAACTTTATTTTCAGTGTTGGATTTTTGTCAGAAAAACATTTAGTCAGCATGAACAATCAGACTACATTAATCAGATTACTACATTACATTAAGATACTTTTTTAATGCAAAAAGCTTTATATTCAGCAAGAATGCATTCTTTTTTTAATGAAACAAAATATGTGTATTACAAAAGATTTTGTTTCATTGTTCAAATAGAAACAGTTATTTTAGATGTAATGTTTCACAGTGTATTTTTGTTCAGCCTTTGTCAGCGTATTTAAAAAAAAATCCAAACTCCAGTGTACTGTATTTGTACGTGCAGAGGATGAAAAAAACATCATCTCAACAGAATCGAGAGCCCAGCAAATTTAAGTAAACTCCACAAATGCTTTCCGATCCTAGCCGTGGCACATTCTCAGACAGTTGGCAAACACCAGATCTGGCTGCAGCCACGTGAGGATCCAAAATCAAGTTTGGTTAAACCCTCTAAGAGTTCCTGATGGGAAATGCTTAGATGTTGAACAGTACTTCTGATTCTGGGGAATAAGATTAGGTATCTTGTGGTCAGACAAATGTGGGTGTTGTAACAGACAAAAAGTATGTCTGTTTTCCCCATGACCCAGACAAAAGGAAGCCAATATTGACTAAGAAGAGGGTCTACTAATCTAATCTAATCTGTGTGACCTTTTAGATGACTGAGATTAGCATTATAGGAAAATCGTTATATACATAGAGAGGTTTATTCAAAGCAAAGTCTAGCTTTCATGTAAACATGCAGCTATTTATCTTAGTAACCCACTTGTGTGAATGTCATTAGAAAAAAATTCAATTCAGTAGAGCAGATCGGGCATCAGGACTTTGGATTAGAAGGCAAAGGCACATAAAACTGATTTTCTTGTGTATTTTTCTGCTTAAATTTATATTTTAGTATGGCACATTTTAGTCTAGCATGAAGAGACCACACAGATGTTCAGTTTAATCTTAGGATTACATCATTTCTGGCTCTTAAAGCATCTTTGGCCTTTTCCAAGTTGTGCACTATATGAGGTCCTTCAGTTTTGTGGGCTAAGCTTGCATGTACTGTATCGATAATGCCCACAAGATCACAAACATTTTGACTTAAGTTTAGCATCTGACATAGCATATTTCTATAATAAAGTGGGCAAAAAGGATGTGAAAAGAGTCCAAATTCACTATATTCTCTAAAAAAAGTAACACTGTTCCAGCTCATATTTGGAAATATAAGCTCAAATATGCACAAGCCTAAAGATTTTGTTAATTTTTTAAAATGTTTTTTGTGAGTATCAAAAGGTAACCATGTGTCATACTATCTCTGAAACACGCATAAGAATTACTATACGTCAGTGCCATGGGAGAGGATCTGTAAATGGCAGTAAAGTGACGTATCTGGTTCTGGTGATAATGGCCACATTATGCATTACATATTACATTACATTACATATTACAATTATGAAAAACGAGAATATATAAATTGCTCTGTCATAATAAGTGCTTAATCAAACAATATGCCATTTTGAATGTCCCAAATAACATTTCAAAACCTTTGGCAATTTATTAAGTAGTTAAATAAGCAGTTCAAGCAGTTTCAAAAAGTTGTCTTCAGGGTTGACACTTTTCAATACCAATAAATTGACTTTTTTTTTTTTTTTTGTCTTTTATCATTTTAGACTTATAAGATTTTTGACTTCAGTGACTTTTTCAGATTCAGAATTCCTAGTTTAAGTTTTCCTGAATGTCCAAATTTAATATGCAGTTTAAAACCCTGTTTCCAGCATGCACCTGCGAACTGATACAGATCATGTAAAAAACCAGTAGTTTGCTTCTGTTGTGAATTCATTCGTGGCAGTAAGCTACTATTGATTGATCAAACTGTATTTGTTTTGTGTTTACTGTAAAGAAAATGTATTTCTAAATTCTGCTAATGTTTTTTGAACACTTGCTTTAAGTCTGTAAATAACAGATGCATATACTTGTTGTTTTGGCACTTTTGGAATGAAACAAAGTACAAAAATGCAAAAGTGCATCCGTTCATTCTCTGGTTAGTTGTTGCCTAACAGGGGTAATCAGATGCCAAGGTTATAAAGCAAATGCATTGTGATTTGGAACCAAAAACAAATGTGCGAATATAGTCAAGCAAGTGTTGTGGGAGAGAGCTCAGCATAATGTTCTGACCAGACAATGGGACTAAGTTAGTCATCTTCTGGAAGTGTGCTGAGGCCAATCTCAAGGGTACCATTTGTGCATTGACCCAGTGGCCCATGTTGTAAACTGTAGAGTCAGAGAAGGCTGTTTTTAATAATGTCTTAGAAACATGGTTTTGATTTGGATTTGGGGCGGCATGGTGGCTCAGTGGTTAGCACTGTCGCCTCACAGCAAGAAGGTCACTGCTTCATGTCTGTGTAGAGTTTACATGTTCTCCCCTGTGGGTTTGCTCCGGTTTCCCCCACAGTCCAAAGACATGTGCTATAAGGGAATTGAGTAAACAAAATTGGCCGTAGTGTATGAGTATAAATAGGCCTGTATGGGTGTTTCCCAGTTCTGGGTTGCGGCTGAAAGGCTATCCGCTGTGTAAAACATTTGCTGGAACAGATGGCGGTTCATTCCACTGTGGCGACCTCTGATAAATATGGGACTAAGCTAAAGGAAAATGAATGAATAAATTAATAGTTTAGATTTTGGTTTGTCAAAGCATTTAAATCATTCCCTTACTGCTAACATGATGTGCATATAGTGGTATTTTATTATTAAAGGAGCTATTAACTAAGTTTTGATTTAAGGGCTTTTTGATGACTAAAAATTTAAATTTGAATTTCAGGCAGAGCAAGACAAGCTAAGCTAGACGTACAGCCAGACAGCAGCAATCGATTAACAAAGCAACCAATCCCAAAAAACCCAAAAGTGGACTAAACATAAACTGAACTTCGACAGTAACATTTATACTACACTGAACTAAAGCCTTTTAAATTTACTAGAACTGCACCAGCATTCTACACTACTCTCCTACCTACCTGAATTTAAAGAGCCCATATTATACATGAAATAGGGTCATATCTTGGTTGTAAGGGTCTCCAACAACAGTTTAATATGCATGCAAGGTCAAAAAACACTTTCATGGTCTTATAATCTGCATTTATTTTTACCTAATTATCCCAGCGACTCCTGTATGAATCGTCCAGTGATTCATTTGTTCCCAAACCCCTCCTTAGCGCGAAGCTAATCTGCGCTGATTGGACCGATGACAGTCTGTCACGATTGGTCGACTGCCTTCAGTCAGAGAATGAAATGCCCAATAGCTAATCAGCAATATAAAAAGTAATCACAGTTCATACGCGCTCCATAGTGTAGGCGTGGATTTTAGCTGCCACACACACACAAACACACACACACCTCTGGACGGCAACGCTCCCGCTTCCGCCCGCACCCGCCAGGTTTTAGCCTGAACCCGACCGCTCCCGCTTATATTTAGAATTTCTTGTCCCGGTGCCGCCCCGTTTTCTGCCCGCCGCGCCCGATCCCGCTAAAGAGCGGGGGAGAATATAACCGAAAATCACCCAGCTAAACAGTACAGAGACAGCCAGACAGAGCTCTCTCTCTCTCTCTCTCTCTCTCTCTCTCTCTCTCTCTCTCTCTCTCTCATACGCGCGCACTAACACATACACACAAGCGCCAAGCAGACACACAGGCAGGCAAAGCTCTGTCTCATTCGCATAGCAATAACCACGATTTTGCTAGACAGCCCGCTCCCGTCCCAAATTAAACCTGTTACCGACCGCTCCCGCGATTGATTCGGAAATTTATTCCCGCGCCGCAGAAATCTGCCGTGGGGACAGACCTCTACCACGGAGCTCCGTAAACAAACAGCACGCGTCGCGTTATTAACGTGACTTTGCACGCGATAAGAGAATATAGCCAGTTAACCTGATACAGTACACGCGGTTACAAGTAACAAATCACAACTAAATACATTTGCAAGCTAGAGTCAACGAGGCAACTTTAATCGCACGTACTTACATTTGAGAAATGGAGGAAGAAACTCATCCTGACGTCCATTAGTAAGTTATTCTTTGCTGATCCTTACTTTAACAAACGCAGATGAAGTATTCTTTGTAGCATGTAGTTGCCAGTAGTTTCCAACTGCTTGGTTATAATGCTGAGGTTTCATCTCTGGGTAGAGAATCGATAATGTCCATCTGCAGTGTGACTTCAATCGACCGGCATGTTTGTGTGCGTGTGTTTGTGGGTGTGTGTGTGTGTGTGTATATGTGTGTGTCTGGGTTTCTGCGTCAGAGGGCGGGGCCTCAGGTTTGAAATCTCCCGGGTTTGCGCGTGCACGTGAATAACTTGGTTTCGTTCATACGTCATGGCGAAACACCTAATGAATCGGTATCAAGGCGACTCGTTTGAAGCACTATGAGTCGACTCTTTTATAGATGAATCAACCGTTTTAAACACTGTACACTAACAGATTTAAGCCTTAGCTGGATACTTCACTTCACTTAGAGCTGTGTTACACACTACATGGAGGGGAATTTTCAAAAACCCATAATATGGGCTCTTTAAATGTTACATAGTTTGAAATATGATGGCTTTTACTCCCTTTTCGTAATCCGTGTTAAGCTGCTTTGACACAATCTTCATTGTAAAAAGCAAAGCACTATAAAAATAAATAAGAATTGACTTGACTATACTGCTTAAACAGATACAGGAAACTGGCAACATATGCTGCTGGGAAAGTGATATCACAGTCGATGTAAGAGTCTCAATTCTCCACCAGTTTCCCCCGCACAGGAAGAACTGGGCGGATGTCCCACTGCACAACATGCAGCTTCTGTGATTTTAATTGTCTCCTGAGGGCTATAGCATAATGCCTGGGAATGACGATAAAGTCGTTTTAGCAGTTTGGGTCACTGCAATGTTTATGCTTCAATTTGTCACTTAACCTTTCTTAATTTCCCTTGTTCTGGTTATTTTTGCAAGCTCTTTTGAAGTACCACCTCCTGAACTCAGTCCAGTGCTCTGAGGCCATTATGGCAGGCTCCATCTATGGGACTCTTGAGGGCAGTAATATTGAGATTGGATGTGATGGTGAGAGCCTTACTGTCAACGGAATCAAGATGGTGCTCAAGAAAGACATTGTCACTAGCAATGGTGTCATTCATCTGATCGACCAGGTGCTCATGCCTGACTCAGGTAAGGCTATACGTGTGTCTGAGTGATCAAATACTATAAAGCTGAAAGGTAACTCCAAGTTGTGCATAGAGTTTAAATGTGCATTAAAAGTTATGGTCTTATTCAGGTGGACATGATAAGTATGCAAATACAGTATGATGGAAACACATTTCATGATTCGCCACAAATAATCTCAGATAATGTAATTGACTAACTGGACTAAAGATGTACACTATTCACAATGTGAATTATCGTAATTACCCTAATTCCATGTATGTTCATGTTCTTGCAGATCCAGTAATTACTTAAAATATTCTAGTTGTGACCATTCTAACACATGACCATTGTAGTTTAATTGCTGTATGTTTAGACATTAACAGTTTTAAAACAAATGATAAAAAATTACAGTAGTTAAACACTAATTATATTAATTCCAAGACATGAGCACAGTATAATCAACAGAAAAATCTTACTGCCCAATCATCTCAAATGTTATTTTAGCAACTGAGAACTGATATGTTTTGACATACCCTGACATCTGAGCTTTTTTCAGTTTCTTATACAGTAGATATACTTATGGCTGAAGTCTAATGACAGTGTATGTAAACCTTGTTACAATTGTTAATATACTTGCTATAGTAGTTACAATTAATCATGCCTAATTACTGCACATGCATGTAACCCTAAACCTATTCTGGATTCTAACCCTAACCATAATTGTTAACTAATAAACGTTAATGAAAGTTAATGTCTTAATGATAGGCAGGTAATATGCTAGTAGTTAATAGCGTAAATTGTTATATAAAAAAGTTTTGCTGATATGTTTCTGCAAAAACATTGGAAAACTTCTTACTAAACAATTTGAAAATCACCCTGCCTACACATTTGAATCAAACTATTTATTGATTTAACCTTCATGAGACTTTTTTTGTGTCAATGTCATGAATATTAATGGTGATTTTCACTATGAAATAAGAACAGGCCTTTCTCTAACAGGCCTATCAGTGTGGAATGTGACTGAGAGGCAGGTAAAGGGAAGATTTAGAAAATATATATATATATTTTTTTTTTTTTTTGTAGTTTATTTACAACAAAGTCGACAATAAAGCCAGAATATAAATTATGAAAGTCAAAGGCGCATGAACCGATCTGCGCTGATCTAAACACTGGAAGCAGATCTGAACTTTGGAAACAAAGGAAGTCAATCGGCTTTATGCCATTCCACAAAACTGTAACACAAACGAATTCCCAAGGGGTTTGCTGCTTCTTTTTACATTCCTAACTAAAGAAAAAGTGAGAGAGTTTACCTTCACTATATGATAATATAGAATATCAGTCCAGTGCACAACCTGCTGGTGATGACATCTATAATTTTGGATTTGTGGTCCTTTGCTATTACCCTAAGTAAATTTCAGGAATAGCTCACCAACAAAACATGTAAACTCCCATCTACTCGTGCAAATTTAATGTTACTATTATATCATGTAAATCTCAAACTGAGGTTGATGTGTATTTTCTCTATGAATGACAGCAAAGCAGGTGATGGAGCTTGTGGGCAAATCGCAGAGTGTCTTCAGTGACATGGTGTCTGAACTTGGTCTTTCTGCCGCCCTGCAGCCTGAGACTGAATACACTGTACTTGCGCCACTGAACGGAGCCTTCTCTGGTGAGACCTCGTGACTCTATGAGCAAATACAGGACATTTCTATTGAGATATGAAAGTAACTTCCTAGTAGGACTTCATCACTCTATGTTTTGATGATGCCCTTTAGACATTTTGTTTTACTATAATCCCATGATGACAAATCCAAGCCAAATCTAACCTTTTAAATGTTAAAACAAATGATTAGGTTTTCAGACTTTTTTGTGTTTTTTTTTTTTTTTTGTCTTTGACATTTTAGCAGGAGACTTCAACTTAACAGAAGTGAAAGAAATATATAGAATAAAGTTTACCATTTTATCTTCAATGCGTTTATTACTTTAACTCTTCTGATTGCTTCTGTACATACCCTATATGTGACCCTGGACCCAAAATCTCTTGCATTGTATTATGTTGCAAATGCCCAAATATTAAAAAGGTCAAGTGATTGATTTTCCTTTTATTGGCAAAAATCATTAGGATATTAAGATCATGTTCCATGTAAGTATAAACTATTTTGGAAAAAAAATTCCTTGCTAAAAACTTAATTTGTCCGTTTTCAAAGGCAATGATCTTAATTATTAGATTTTTTGCATCCTCAGATTTCAGATTTCAAAAAGTTGTGTCTTAAACATTATGTCCTCCCCTATCTTTACATCAAATGAAAACATACATATTAAGTTTTCAGATGATGTATAAATCTTAATTTAAAAACACTTTACTCTTATGACTTGGGTTGTAGTCCAGGATTATGTTTTATTTGTGTTTTTTTATCATTATGGACATTTTAGCATTACACTTTAACAACATAAAGTGACAAAAGATATAGAATGTTGTTTCATCTTCAGTCTATTACTTCTGAAGGCCTCACATTCCTACTTAAACCACCTTAACAATTTGTAGTATTTGCTCATCACCTGTCACACAGATGAGGTCATGTCTATGGATCAGCGTCTCCTGAAGATTATTCTGGAAAACCACATTGTGAAACTCAAGGTCTCTCTGAGAGACCTGTACAACGGCCAGCTGCTCGAAACGCTCGGAGGAAAAATGCTTAGAGTCTTCATATATCGCACGGTGAGAGACAAACCCTCCAATAGAAAGAGCATTAGAGGACCTGCAAACAATTACTGTGAAAACAACCACTTTTTAAAAACACTTTATGGCTCTACTCTTTGGCAGTTAAGTTTTATACTCTTGTTTATTTTCTTCAGGTGAGTTTGTAGATCTGAAATGTATCCTGGTCTGACTATTTTATTTCTCAACACTCTGTAAAGTGTCCAAAACACAAGAATAATTTAATTCTCCTCTTTGTGTGTGTGTGTGTGTGTGTGTGTGTGTGTGTGTATTAGGCTGTGTGTATTGAGAACGCCTGTATGGTTCGTGGTAGTAGAGAGGGCAGTAATGGAGCTCTTCATCTCATGAGTTCACTGATCCAGATGCCTGAAACCACCATCTATGAGCTGCTCCTGAAAGATGGACGCTTCAAGTAAGAAGCTTAAAGTTCTCTAATGAGGCTATGTTATTATACAGTAGTTAACTACAATTAACCATGATAAAATCAATTTCTACAATGTGTTGCTTGAAAAATAAAAAATAAATGTTCAATTAAATTTTAACATTTATAATTGTATAAATTATTTTCCTTTCTTAAAATTGTAATACTTTAATAAAAATAATTAAAAGCTAGTAAAAACAGAAAGCTTAATATACAAAATATGCATACAAGGTGTTATTGCATTTCAATTCTATATATGTAGAAGATTTATGGTTTGAAATGAATGCAAATAGTAACATATAACCTTAATATCAAAATGTTCATGACTTTAATTTATGGATGTTAATCAGTGCAGTGAACCTGTAAGCTTATGCATTATACAGTGTTTTTGTAATATGTCATTTTATCATGTAATAGTATAAAAATGTTTTAGAAAGCAATATATGAATGTCAAATGAAATGTTCATTAAAAAAGAAAATGTATTACTTTTTGTTAAGTACAAATATTCAATGCTTTCTACAGGTTTGAAATATACTTGCAGTGATAGCCAGATTTAAAGACACCTTTACATTATTTAAATAAGGCTAATTAGTTGATTAACCATTTCTAATGGTGTTAATGGAGTCTTTATTAAAGAAAATTACAATAAAAATTATAACAATACATAAATAAATAACATACCCTACATGTAATTTTACTAATGATAGTATACAGTTGAAGTCAGATTTATTAGCCCCTCTTTTAAACTTATTTTCTCTTTTAAATATTTACCAAATGATGTTTAACAGAGCAAGGAAATTGTCACAGTATATCTGATAATATTTCCTATTTGTTTTATTTCTGCTATAATAAAAGCAGTTTTATTTTTTCTAAAAACTATTTTAAGGGCAAAATTATTAGCCCCTTTAAGCTATATTTGTTTTCGATAGTCTACAGAACAAACCATTATTATACAATAACTTGCCTAATTACCCTAACCTGCCTAGTTAACCTAATTAACCTAGTTAAGCCTTTAAATGTCACTTTAAGCTGTATAGAAGTGTCTTAAAAATATTTAGTCTAATATTATTTACTGTCATCATGGCAAAGATCCAATAAATCTTTTATTAGAGATGAATTTTTAAAATTATTATGATTAGAAATGTGTTGAAAAAAATGTTTTCCTCGTTAAATAGAAATTGAGGAAAAAAAATAATCGGGGGCTAATAATACATGGGGCTAAAAATACAGGGGGGCTAATAATTCTGATTTTAACTGTATGTAAAAGATTGTTATTATCATAAAATATTGAGATTTAGTTTGAATGTCAACTAAATTCTTTAGTTTTTATTTATTTATTAATCTTCTTTATTAATAATAGTAATTCATAATAATACTAGTCCTCATGTATCCTCTTTATTCATATTTTTTCTTACTATTTTCCCCAACATACAAAGGAGTACAAATGTTTGTTCTAGGATCTTTAGTTATTTTGTTAGAGTAATTCCAGATTTGCCTGTGGTATTGATTATTGTTTATACACAAACATAATATTGTATAGTATCCTATAGAAAATGTAATAAATGAAAAGAGAGATCTGAGGGGTGTACTAATTTAAGCTGGACACTAATTATAGTATTGTATTTAAACATTGAAATAAAAAAATTATAATCCACCAACTGTCTGAATCTTTCCAGAATCTTCCTATCTCTGATGGAGAGTGCTGGACTGACAGATCTTCTCAAGCAGGATGGATCCTACACACTCTTTGCTCCTATAGATGCTGCCTTTGGCTCTCTGACAAAGGACGACCTTGCTCTTTTAAAAAGTAAATCTTTTTAATCGTTATTATTTTCAACATTATTTCTGTGACTAGATCAACTTTTGCTTAGTCTATTGTCCATTCACACTGTGGCTGTTTGTTATCCAGGTGACATCAATGTTCTCAGAACAATCCTGCTGTATCACTTCAGCAACGGCATCTTTATTAACGGAGGTCTGGAGGGTGGAGTGACTAACCTCCTCAAGACCATACAGGGAAACAACCTTCAAGTGCTGTCTGTAAGTAGACAGTTATTCGTTCATTAATTTTCTGCATGCCCTTCTAGCTGCAACCCTTCACAGGGAAACACCCATACACTCTCATTCACACTCATACACTACGGACAATTTACAGTAGCTTACCCAATTCATCTACAGCGCATGAAACCCACGTGAACACGGAAAGAACATGCAAACTTCACACAGAAATGCTAACTGATCCAGCCAAGGCTCAAAACAGTGATCTTCTTTCTGTGAGGCGACATCGCTACCCACTGCGCCACCACGTTGCCCTGTGCACAGTTATATTTAGATAAAATTTGTACCAGCTGAGGTTTTAAGGGCCTTATCCAATACCACAATTAGCAAAAAATGTAGCCGTTTCCTCAAATATCAGCCTTTTTCCTAAAAGCGATTGTTAAAAGTGACTAATAATGAGCTTTTCCAGTCACATGATTAATGTTTTCACACTCCCCAACAAAACTGTTCGACTCTCTGAAAGAGTGACTTTTACATTTGGGCCAATGCTAATATTTTTGTAGCACCAGAAAGGAAAAACCTGACATGCTGTTATCGTCAGACGACACAATTAGACGCAGCACAAGTTTCCTGTGTCTGTTCTCAAAAAATTCCATGAACCAAATCCAGGCCATTCACGTAAATCCTGTACAGGAGACCAACTGGTTAGCATTCAGCATGAACTTGATAATAAGAAGCATAAATCATCTCATATGTACTACTAAGGGTCCACAGGGTTTGTTGTGTCTGAATCAGAAAATTGCTACAGTAATAAGGTCATCACTTCCAGACAGTTTGATGCCATCAATCAAACCCTGCATAGATCAAATCTCCGTCCGTAACTCCCTCTAAAAGCTGGAACAATAGGTCTGCTACTTCCTGAGATAAAAACTGATATTAGCACTGTTGATGTAAGTTTGATGTCATCAACATTCTTTTCAACAGTTTTCTTAATTTCTTTAAGGGAATGGTCAATTGTAGGTGGAAGTGTGGGCTTTTTCAGTATAACAATAATAACAGGGTGTCCGTGGGGTCTTAAAAAGTATTAAAAGTTGATAAATCAATGCAGTTATTTAAGGCCCTTAAAAATTATTAAAAAGTGTCAAATGCTATTTTGCAAGGTATTACATTTGATGTCATTTCTGATTATGCAGTGTATTGTAGTATGCTAAAGTTTGCCTGAATTAAATCTGCGAATATCAGGATGCTGTGTAGTTTATGAAATCAATGAAATGCTGCTAGATTTGACATCATGCTGCTTTGTTTTCTGCAGTAACCGAGGCAACATCATTATTTCTGCAGCTTTATAGGCACCAATATGCTAAATTAGCTAGATTTATTAGATTTTCATTCAGTATATGAATAATATTTTAGCTTTGAATAAGTTTCTTACATTTATATTTAGTTATTATACTGTAAGTTAAAATCTCGCCAGTGTTTCTGGTTAAAAATTGGTTTTAAGGTCTTAAAATGTATGGAAAGAGTCTTAAAAGGTTTTAAAGGTTTTAAAGGTATTGAGTTTCACTCTCTGGTTCCTGTATATACTCTGAATAAATAAAATCTATCTGATAAAACACTTGCAGGATTCACACTCTATCATCTAAGTTTATCACTGATCTCTCTCTTTCCTGAAAATGGCAGTACTGATTCTTGTTTTACATCACATCTTGTGAAAAAATCTTGGGCAATTTGAATTGTCCAGTTTTTTTATGTGAAAGGACCTACAGAAAATGATAATGATTAAGTGTTAAAACCAACAACTGAAAATAACTGGACATGACATACTTTAATTGATTGGGGTTCACTGGTTTGAACTGAATTTCTTTGGAGATGAACATTGTTTGAAACACTGGCTGTATCAGAAAGCTAAGGCAGCTTACTTACTGGCCAGTGACCCTGGAAGCAGCATTTCTGCTTCAAGGCACCTCATAATACTAATTTCAGACAGACTTCTGAGACAGCATAATAATTTAATCATGCACAACAAAACAGAGAGTTTTGGTAATAGCTAAGGGCATATTTGCTTACTTCAATACTAAATTCTAGCTGAAAACGCTATCAGAGGTAGAAAACGTTAGTCAAAAGCATTCATTTGTGCATAAAATGACACCCAAATGGCACATAAGCTCTTTTTACACAGTGAATATCCAGAAAATTACTAGAACGACTTTACCGTTGGATTCAAAAAAGCGCTGTTCATACACGCAAGAATGTTAATGAATTTTTCCGGAAAAGACACATTCATTCCAAAATACCAGTAAATTCTTGCATCATTAACCAGAAGTTATTTCTAAACCGCTGTGCTTGTACTGAATTCGTATTTTGTAAACATAGAAGGGGTCGGGCTTTTGTTGATGGTTGATGGTACATAATATATGCGTAAGCTGGCGCTCACCGGCTGCTTCACGTGCACACGCATCAAGCAACTGAAGCAGAGTTTGAAGGTAAACAAACAGCAGTTTATCATAAGCAGTTTATCGATCATTTTTTCCACTGTTGGCATTAAGGAAGAACATAGAAACCTTATCTGACTAACATCTAGCAGCTAAATGTGTCTGGAAAAGTATTTAAAGGCTATTATTTTCAGAAACAGCGTGGATGTGAAAGCGTCTGAATGTTCTGATTGACTGGAGTAGTCGTCTCACATCAGCTCGTTCTAATCGTAAGCACACTTGTTTTTGCAATTTTCTTTCTGCGTTCAGAGCAGCATTTTGGCAAATTACCGATATTGTTGCAACTTCTCTTTCCGGAAAATTTCTGGAACTAATTTACTGGTATTTTCAAAAAGAGCCTGTTCACACATGATCCCTTTCCGGAAAATTGCTGGTAATTTGTTTTCAATAGCTTTTAACTGTCAGAAATAAGCTGCTTTTCCACTATCGTGCCAAACCGTTCTAAGAACACTTCGGTACGGTTACGGTTGTTTCTCCACTGAGCCTGGAACGGCGCGGCACGATTACAAACCGTTCTTGGCCCGGAATTCTCGGCACGGTTAGACAACCGTGCTGAACTGTGCTGACAGATTCTGTGTGTTGACGTCGCGACTCGGTTGCTAAGCTACCACAGCTGGCTCAGCAGAAGCGCGCTAGTCATCAGACATCCTAAATAAACTACAGTACATTTAATATAAAATAATGATCCAGGTCTAAACAATACAGTTTGAAAAAGGTTTTAAAACCATAGAGCAGTCTCTGGCAGAGAAGTGAATAACTCATCACATTCTTACGACGATATTTTATTCATTAAAGTTATTATTTTATTGACTTGAATACAGACCTACTTCGCCTGCCTGAATGTGAGTTTATTGCACGCAGCGCTGTATTTCACAGCACAAAACTCGCTCTGATCCGGGAGAGAGATGCCAGCGATTTGCGCTGCTGACTTTTTTCCTGCTGCGCATCGAATAAAGCGAAAAAAGTCACGCTCAGCATCGTCGATGTCCAAATTCCACAACAACATCACTATATCCATGGAACACGAACTTGCAGACTCTTTTAACAACGAGGAAATAATTGCACTTTTTAATTCAAAGCCAGGACAGCTTGTTAATTCCGGCGAGACCACCTGAAGGACGGCGTGTTCGTGTTGTAATGTCGGCCGTCCAAAAGACTTTGCTTGAAAGCTTTACGGAGCGGCACTGTAACTGTCCAAGGTACTGTTGAATGATTTATATTATAGCATATGCACTAATAAACAAGTCAAAACAATGAATGAATTACATAAATATGGATTCTTAAATGTCAGTATTGCTTTTACTCAAAAAATATCAATACGTTTTGACAAATGTTTTATAAAAATAAAATGAGCAATTTTCATCATTTCAGCTGTAGGCAATTATATGATTCAGTTATACATAAGTTATATGACATTTATGAGGCATGTAACATGTTTCTGTGTTTTTGTTCTTGGTGATCTTTAATATAGCTACGCAAATATTTTCTAAAACGTCAAGCAATAATTCGCCTTCAGCTTGTTAGTTAATTATGAACACAAAATAATTATAATAATAAAAATAAAATTATCAAAATAAAAAAATAATAGAGCAGCATTTTGCTAAATATAATAGTGCTTTATATGCTTTATATCCTGCTATATGTGTTGTTTCAAATTCGTTTTTTATTTCACTTGCTGCATTCGTTATTTAATGTTTGAATTGTAAAACAAACAACAGCCATTGCTTAATTGGTTTCATTTTAACATCATAATGTAGTATATTTTATATCATTATCAACTTTTGATATAAAAACGCAGTGTAATTTAATTGATTGTTAAAAATGAAATAATTAATGTGCTGTGTTTTTATTAGTGAAAGTGCCCGCTCAACTTTGACAAGGCCTGTCCAAAATTATATTTCTGCCACTATATGCAAATGCACTATTATTGTTGTCTTATCATTCTTTATTTTTCTGTTATGTTCAGAGATTTTAAATATTTATTTCCCCTCTAATTATTTTCAATCATCACGTTACATTTTGGTAATTTTCCCTCCAAATAAAATTTAGCCAAAGCTGCGCAACATATAAATAAATAAGGGTGCACATGTACCTATATTTAGCACCCCTATTTGATAGAGCGGCATAACAGTGTTTAGTCGCATGGTTGCTTTTGCTTTTATGAAAAAAAAAAATACTTGTTTCGGCTCTTATTTAACTTTAATTGAACAAAGGGAGCCGTTTACATTGCGTTACCAAGGCAACTACTGATGCGTTTTGTGTAATGTTTTAAAGAGCTTTGTCGCAGCACGACAGTGGAAAATGAAACCGTATCCGTGCTGTCTGGCCCGGTTTGGCACGGAATGGAACAGTTCTGTTTAAAGAACGATTCAGCACGATAGTGGAAAAGCGGCTATAGAATGCTCAGGATTGCGGCATATTGAAGGCAAATCACACGTCTATGCTGCCTTTGAAATTTGATAAAAAGAAGGTACCTCCAGAGAAAGGAAGTGAAGCAGAATTTGAATTCAGATGTGCCTTCATGCTTTCCAACCTTGCAATGCTGCTTCTGATGGCAGCATCTTAGAGCTTTCCAATGCAGCCCTTATAAAATCTCAAAATATGCAACATGGTTCTGTTACTGTTATTTTAACGCATATTGTGTTTTTACTTCTAGGTGTAAATTCTAAGAGCCAAAACTTTAAGAGACCGTTAACTTAAAGTTTACTGAATAGGTTGTTTTTATATGCCGTCACTGATGACACGCAAGACTCAGATTGAGGACAGGAAGTGATTCTTTTACATAGGAATTACTATCAGAACATCAAAATATTTCTGTTTTATGTTGTTTACAATTGTATAAATCGGCCAGTATAAGAAATGCCAAACAGTTTTAATAGGATTCCTAAAACTTTTGCTTATAAAAGGGGGAAAGTTCAAGAAACTGGCTGAATGATATGTGGTTATTTTCTATTTATGTCTCCTTTGAAATATCGCAAAAATACGAACTTTCCTCTCTGTCTTCCATTCAGTTTTTTGCTTTCTGCCCTCTATCTGAATTTTGCGCATCACCAGAACTATGTGATTGAAAACAACCTATTTTTGATCGCCATTTTTTTATATAGTAAGAGAAAATTCTGTAAAATACAGCAGAAGAAGGAATTTCTTAAATTAAGTTTGATATAAGTTAAAATAATAAGTGATAAATGACGACAGATTTGTTGTTTTGGGTTAGCTAATCTCTTTAATGAAATGTTTAGCTGTTTTACTTGTCTGTATGTACTGAAGTGTTTTATAAGATCATCACATCTATGTTTGTTTTATTTTTTATTCATATTTTAAATGTTGAAATGCATAAACTATATATATTATATGTTTTTTGTTTTTATTTTACACTTAGGTTAACAGCTCCATCCATGTAAATTCAGTGGATGTTCCAGATTTTGATCTTATGGCATCCAATGGAGTAGTCCATGTTGTGAAAACCTTATTATATCCTCAAGGTAAAGTTATGCAAGGAATTTGTGTTTAGATGCACATACATATATAAATATATATTTAGATGCACAAAGTCAAAATCAGTTGCGTAGATCAAGTTTATCGTAGTAATACCTGGATTTTCCACAGTTATATAACCATACAATTCCTGAGACATAAGACACAGTCCCTTGAGCTTAATAGAAAATTTTACTGCATTTCACAGATCTGCCAGTTGGCCGTGAAGACATATTGATTCTGCTGAAGAGACTCATCAAATACATGCAGCTGAAGGTACAGCAGAACACACATCATATCTGAACACTGACTCACATTATATAACAGATCCATCATGGTCACCAAACAAACACATAGCATTTTATCTTTTTTTGTGTGTGTGTTTGTATGTGTGTGTGTGTAGTTTGTATCTGGATACACCTATCGAGACATTCCACTTACATTTATCAGTAAGTTTAGTTTTATTCTTCTTTCATTTTTGTCTTTAAGTTACACTTAACCTAACATCATCAGCAACAGCATCTGGAATTAATTTGATATGCTTTATTTATTTATTCATTTATTCATTTATTCATTTATTTATTTATTTATTTATTTATTTGTTTATTTATTTATTTATTTATTTATTTATTTATTTGTTTATTTTTTATTTATTTTTTATTTATTTATTTATTTTTTATAATAACTGTTGTTTTCTTGTCTTGCAGAGAGGACTATAACTACTCATGTCATTGAGAGAGGTAATACATTATTATATTAATGTATTTTTTTATTATTATTATTTTTAGTCACCTTTGAAAAAACACTTTTTAATTTAATTTAATTTAATTTTACCTCCGTATAACCACTGTATACTTTATTTTCATTTTCTTTTCGGCTGAGTCCTTTTATTAATCTGGGGTTGCCACAGCTGAATGAATCGCCAACTTATCCAACACATGTTTTACGCAGCGGATGCCCTTCCAGCTACAACCCATCACTGGGAAACATCCATACACACTCATTCACTCACATACACTACAGACAATTGAGCCTACCCGATTCACCTGTACCACATGTTTTTGGACTTGTGGGGGAAACCGGAGCACCCGGAGGAAACCCACACCAACACGGGGAGAACATGCAAACTCCACACAGAAATGGCAACTGACCTAGCCAAGACTCGAACCAGCGACCTTCTTCCTGTGAGGCAAATGTGCTACCCACTGCGCCACCATGCAGCCCTTTATTTAATTTCATTTTAATTTCATTTTAACTTCGAATAACTGTTTGTTTTATTTTATTTATATATTTTCTTTTTTTTATTCACCTCCGAATAACTACTGTTTATTTTATTTTATTTTATTTGTTATTCACCTCCGAATAACCACTGACTATTCTATTTTATTTTATTTCAATTCATACCTTTGAATGACAACTGTTTCACCTCTGTTTCTTTATCCATAAGCATTTAATTTATTTATTAAGCAAGTTATTGCACAATGTTTTATGTAATAATTTAATTCAATTTAATTTAAGACCTTATAATGCCAATTACTTTCTAAATAATAAGCAATTGGTGAGTTTAATTACAATACTGAGTTCCTCAGGGTTTTCTCTCCCGTTAAGTTATTCCTAGAAGCACTTTGAGTTATTTGTACAATTATGTATTTACTAAATCATTATCCAATATAACAAAAAAGCCTGAACTTTGCCTCAGCTGCAGTTCTGAGTAAAACTCTTCATGATGGAGCCCCAGAGGAGAGCAGGCATATGTGGTTATGTTGACTGGCACCAAACACTGGCATCTTCTCTAGCAGCTGCTGGACAGATAGAAAGATAAAGAGCCATTAGAGGATTTTGCCTCAGACCATGGCAGGAGATCTACCTGTAGAAGAAAGTTTAGCACCATTAAATGAAAAGTACATTTTTGTAAATTGATGTTTTTGGAAACTTGGCTAAAGATTTGTACTTTGTGAAAGTGAAAACTCATTAAAGCTTTGGTAATAGCAGGATTTGAGATTGAGAGTTACAACTCAGCAGTGGATTTCAAACCTACATTTCTTATTGAAAAAAAGTAAACGATCCAGAATTTTACTATTTTCAGTTATACAGTAAGTCAAAACTTATTACGTATGTAACTTTACAGTCACAAGTCTCTAAATCATCTGAATACTGGTTTAATTTCTAATTTCCAAGATATATCCAAGCAGTAGGAGATAACAAAAATTGGCACACTGCAACAGTATTTACAATATATTATTTTTTAATTATTTTATTTTGTTTGATTTGCACATGCTTAAAGTTTTCTTAGTTTTCTTTTCTTTAGTGCTATAGGAGATCCATTTCCATAGCAGGATTATTATTTATTAGTAAATAAATGGTGGACATAGTTTTTCCATGAAAGACCTTTTAATGGCACTGTTATTCATACTGAAAATTATATACAGATGGGACTAATACAAAAAACCTGATGGAGGTCTTTGACTCAAACATTGCTAGTTTTAATATTTTCTATAAAAATAAAAATTAACAATATGCAGATCTTTTTTTGTGATTTTTGCTGGAATATTTCTGTTTGCTTGATGAGGCACCAGTTTAAAATATTTTGGATGTGCCTCTTTTAATGTTTTAAATAATAAAAGTCAGAGTTTTTATGGCCATATTTAAATGTACCACAGAATGCAAATCTAAATCTAAGTTCAGTACATTGAAATGACGCACTGGGAGCCACATATTACATATTACTGTTTCCTCAAATTAAACATTTACACTATGAAAGTGGATTAATTACTTATTAAATGTTTTCAATTATAAATATTCCATGTGTGTGTGCATCTCTTTTTAAAATAAAATACTGTTCCTTTAAAATTTTTGGATGCAGAAATATTAACCCATAAAAAATGTAAACTATATTAATCTAATTAATATTATTTAATTCAGTGTAAGCATTAAAGGCGTCAAAAATATGTAAATATAATCAACCCAAAATTTATAAAATCATAATTTTTCTTAACTTTAAATATGCTTTAATCATACTTGTATGCTAATTACAAAAACTGTTTTTATAAACCTAGGCTGAAAACGTAACTCTATATACATTCCTGGAGAACGTCAAATATGTCCCACGAGCTACGTTTGTTATTGTTTTTTTCGCAAATCCACCTGCGGCTGTATGCTTTTTGAGATCTCAAATTTCTTTCGGGAGTGCCATTCGTGCCTGTTGCTCTCACGTAAATCTACCAGAGGCCACTGTCAACTGACTGTTTGACTGAATGAATGATTGACTGACTGACTAACTGACCGACCTCTCCCTTCCCTAAACCCAACCAATAGTGTTTTAAAAAGCACTAATTGACCTGCCCACGCACTTTCCTAAACCCAACAGACAGATTTAAAAAGCAATTCAGAAAAAGAACAAGCCCTCATCTGATATTTACCACGTTTGACCACATTATCACCGTGTTATTTACTTGTTTAAACCTGCATTCTGAAACCCCTTTTCACTAGACTCAAACCCCGTCGTCATCTCCTCTCAGCCTCTCAAGTCCACCAACGTATATGGTGAGCTAACTGGACAAACTTGTAACAGCGGGAAAGCCGTCCATATGAAGGAAAGCGCGGTTAGCTGGTAAGCGCGAAAAGGAACAGCGTGATACCGCCCCGTATTGTTCGTTAAAAAAATTTAATGCAGTCATATGTACTTCTGTCTACATAATTCACGATCTCCAGGAATATATATAGGGCTACGTTTTCAGAATGAGCCTATTTTGATTTTTATTTATGGTTTTCATTATTACTACGTTTGAAATAAGTATAATAATTCTATCACAGCTATCTACTTGTCTAGGTTTTTTTTTGTTATTCAGACTTTTACAATTGTCTCATGTATACACTTAATCGGCTTGAATTCAGTCATAAAATAGTACTTACAATCAAAAACTCTTGGTCCACAAGTACACTTAGCTCATCTTTGGCTGAATGTACCAATTTATGTTTTATGAACCTAGCAGTAGCACGAAACGTGACCTCCGCTGAGAAAGTCCAAACCGGTGTTGATTAACAGCTCTGACAGCGCCAGTGACTTTTAATGACTGTGTCCCATTCTCATCTTTGATCACTTACTTCAAATCACTGAAACCACTGTGGAGAAACTGGATAATGTGGAGTTGGATTTGAGACCAATGGACATTTGCCACAATTGGAAGCAAAGCTAACTTTAACTCAATCAATATGTTATTAGCTAAAAAGACAGTCCTTTATGCCAGAAAGGATAAATGTTGATTGAAGATCGTCATAAATGTCATGGTTAGTATATTTTGTCATGACACCTAACAAGATCTGTACCTTTTCTACAGGTCCTGGGACTACAGTTGAAAGGACTGTGATTGGAGAACCAATCAAAGTTACGAGAGTCATTGAAGGACAGCCAGGAGTTACCAAAGTTACACGAGTCATTGAAGGAGATCCTAGTGTTACCAAAGTTACACGAGTTGTTGAAGGACAGCCAGGAATTACCAAAGTTACACGAGTCATTGAAGGAGATCCCAGTTTTACAAAAGTAACAAGAGTCGTTGGAGATCAAAGTCTTACCAAAGTTACAAGAGTTGTTGAAGGAGATCCCAGATTCACCAAAGTTACACGAGTTGTTGAAGATGATCCAAGTCTTACCAAAGTTACAAGAGTTGTTGAAGGAGAACCAAGTTTCACCAAAGTTACACGAGTTGTTGAAGGAGATCCAAGTTTCACCAAAGTTACACGAGTTGTTGGAGATCCAAGTCTAAGCAAAGTTACAAGAGTTGTTGAAGGAAAGCCATCTGTTACAAAGGTCACCAGGCTTATTGAATGTATGTCCAAGCTTCCAATGATTAATTTTATAATAACAAACCCCTGTTATCTTATAACATTTTTATCTTTTTGTTTTCATTCCCTCTTTTTTTTGTTTAGCTCACAGTGCCTCATCTGATGGTGAAATTGATGCTGGCGGAGAAATCAAGGGAATCGTGGGTGATGGTAATTTAATTTTAAGCTTGATATGGATGTGTAGTTCAACATTTCTACGTGACCAGGTTGTTAAAGTGAGGGTTCACACCAAAAATGAAAACTTAAATCTCATTTACTTATCCCCAGGCCATACAAGGGCTATACTTTTGTATTGAATAGAACAGGGGTGCTCAACAGAGTTCAACTGTTCCTGAAGATCTACTGTACCTTCCTACAGAGTTCTGCCGCCGTCACACTCAAGTTTAAGCAAAGGAAATTCTGTGGTATGGCGATGTGAAAAGGTGAGGGATTAAACAAGTTGATTAAACATTCAAAAAAACAAGCGATTGGTCTTTATTTTTAATTTCTGTACAAAGGTCATGTTTTGATCTTCAATTGGTCTTATGCAGTTACATGATTCGAGTACGTAGGTCAGAGTTCACCAAGCTTGAACTCTGCACCTCATCGAACTGTGAAACTTGTTGCAAGAGCTTGCATTTCCAGTCTGACGCATTTTGTGAGCATATGAATGGAAGTTCATGGGGAGAAAAGTCCAGTGTGACCGTAGCTTTCAGCTCCAAACCTGATCAAACACACCTGAATCAATTAATTAGGACTTGATAATTACTGGCAGGTGTGTTTAATGCAACTGAAATCTGCAGGAAGGTAGATAGATCTCCAGGGACAGAGTTGAGCACCCCTGTATTAGAATTGTAAAGATTTTTAGGTGAAACTGTGGTCCTTGGTAATTCATAAAGCAAGTCAACAACTACCAGCATACTGAGAGTCTAAAAAAACATATATAAGCAAAAAATGTATTCCAACAACTCCTTACAATGCATTATGAAGCAAAATGATTGGTCTGTGCATTAATGGCTGCTAATTTTAGATTCAGAAGACTGTGATATATGGTCAGGAGCCAGAGGTATTCATTTGGTTTTTCTGTGTATGTTTCTTGATTCTCAAAGTACCAATAGACCTTTACTAGCATATTATTAAAACCATGGACCACAGTTTTTTACTTTATTTTGTTGTTTAGACAGTTTCTGTGATTATAACCAAAGTGCATGGCTTTTTAGACAGTTCTTAAATGTCAAATCTCATGCCTTTATATATTATAGATATAAGCAATGTGCAGAGGTTTCAGAATGGTGAAGTACACATCCTGCAAGAGGAAGACATCAAGCAAATAACAGATGCCATCGCTCAGGGAGGTTGGTCTAAAACAATGTTGATTGAGCTGTGGTTAATATTTTAATAGTAAATAGCCGCAGCGGAATGAACCGCAAACTTATCCAGCATATGTTTTGCGCAGTCTTTTTATTTGATTATTTTCCATTTTTATTAATAAATAACTATTTTAGTTATTTTAGATTTTTTTGTTTTTGTCTTTAAAAAATGTTTATGTTTGTTTATTTTTTATTTTATTTTTTTTCAGTGCTGTCATTGATTGCAACCCAGGTTCATTCTGAAAACGTAGCCTTATATACATTTTTGGAGATCACAAATTATGTAGCCAGAAGTACATATGGCTGCATTTCATCTTTAAAACGAACGCTACAGGGCAGTATGACGCCGTTCCTTTTGTGCTCACCAGCTGACCACTTACCTCCATATGGGTTGCTTTCCCGCTGTTATCAGTTTGTCCAGTAACTCACCATGTATGTCGGTGGACTTGAGACACAGAGAGAAGTTGACCATGATGACAGGGTTCAAGTTTGGTGGAGAGCGGTTTCAGAAAGCGGGTAAGACAAAAACAGAAGCCAAAAATAAAATAAACAAGTGAATAAGAGGATAACAAGCTGATAAAATCTGGAAACATGATAAAAATCAGGCGAGGGCTTTTTTTCCTGATTGCTTTTCAAATTTGTCAGTTGGATTAGGGGAAGTGGGTGGGCAGGTTAATCTTTTGAAAAAAACTATTGGTTGGATTTAGGGAAGGAGTAGGATGAGTCAGTCGATCAGTCAGTCAACGCCGGCCTCTGGTGGATTAATGTGAGAACAGCAGGCGTGAATGGCAGTCGTGAGAGAAATTTGAGATCTGAAAAAGCATACACAGCGGCCTCTGGTGGATTCGCGAATACAAAAACTACAAATAAGTACCTTCTGGGATGTATTTGGTGTTCTCCAGAAATGTATATAGGGCTATATTTTTAGAATTAGTCTGGGTTGATTTTGTTTTTTTTTTTAAATAAGTGCCATGATAATAATTCAGTATTCATTTTTGTTTTCCTTTTTGTTTAATGTAATATTTATTTTTATTTTTCATTAACTTTAAATTTAGCTTAACTAACTTGAAATAAAGACTTTAAATTTAACGTTACATTTTTTTTCTACATATATCTTTCTCTCTTGCCAAATGCTCTTTTTGCCCATTATCCTTGGCATATGCAATGATCATGTTCTTTCCCATATTGTTTTTTTAATAATACCATTGATCCAAACATTAATTTGATTTATGATTTTGAAAGGCTTGGGATCTGCAAAAGTCTTTTGTAGCTTCCTAAAGAGCTTGACGTTTTTATCGAGAGCAGCTGTGAAGTCGGTGATTCATCCTTGTTTAGTAATGTTTAATGTTTGTTTGTCTGTCTTATTTTTTGCCCATGCATTACAATCTCTCGTTACGTAATAGAATGAAGCCCCGTTGGTTTTCACATGGCTTGCCTCCAGATGTTTTTGATTAAAGTTCCTACCTCATGGTTTTGATTCATTTTTGGCAAGACTACACTTATGATTTAGCTACGGTTTTAAGCTGTACAGTTAAACTGGGATTAAGGTCTTCATGATTGACTATTACTCACCGACTTGGCTCAGGTCTGGTTTTATGGTTTATGCCCAAAGGTTTGATCATCCATTGTTCTCATGTCTCCTTGTTTCTTAAAGGTGGACCAGGGATCACAACTATAACCAGAGTATTAAAACCAGAGCCTCGGGTTGTTGAAAGTAAGACCTAATAAATCAGATGTCGATATAATGTGAGTTCAGTCATGCTCAGTTGTTTGCTTCATTGACTTCTGTTTTTGAATAAGGTGAACCAGGGATCACCACCTTTACCAGAGTCATCAAGAAAAAGCCTCAGATTGTCGATGGTGAGATGCAGTACACATAATGAGGATATGATAAGGTTTATTGTTTATAGTAAAGCAAATTTTCATCTTGTGTTTAAAGGTGCACCATTGGAAACTACTTTTACTAGAGTAATTAAACCAGAACCGCAGATCATTGAAGGTAAGAAGTGACTGCACATATTTGATATTCAATTTATTTGTATTAGTCAGTATTGAAAAAGGTTTAATAATCCAAAACAAAGCAAAACATGAAACACAAATAACAGGAGCATAGACGGCAAACAATGCCTTGTACAAAACAGCTGAAACACAGGAGCATATATTAAGTTGAAGTCAGAATTATTAGCCCCCCTGTTTTTTTCCCCCCAATTTTTGTGTAACAGAGAAGATTTTTTTAACACATTTCTAAACATAATAGTTTTAATAACTAATTTCTAATAACTAATTTATTTTAGCTTCGCCATGATGACAGTACATAATATTTTACTAGATATTTTTCAAGACACTTCTATACAGCCTTAAGTGACATTAAAGTGTTTAACTAGGTTAATCAGGTTAACTAGACAGGTTAAGGTAATTAGGCAAGTTATTATATTTGTTCTGTAGACTATGGAAAAATATATAGCCTAAAAGGGGTAATAGTTTTGACTTTAAAATGGTTTTTAAAAATTAAAAACTGATTTTATTCTAGCTGAAATGAAACAAATTAGACTTTCTCAGAAAGAAAAAATATTATCAGACATACTGTGTAAATTTTCTTGCTCTGTTAAACATCATGTGAGAAATATTTAAAAGAAAAAAATCAAAGGGGAGCTAAGAGTTCTGACATGAGCTAACTGTACATGAGATAACAAGGGAGTAGAGCTATTGAATTGCTAACAACAGCAGTTAGGAATAAACAGTGATTACAAAGAAACAAGAAGTGAACACAGAAACAGAGGGGAAGGCAAAACACTTGAAGATGAGTTTAAAACATAAGAATGGACTGATAATGAAATGATAAACATGCTTAAAATATGTTAACACAATGCGATCTCATTGCAGTTTGTAAATTTTCGATTTAGTGGATAGTTCATATGAATTCTTACAATCTTATTTGTATAATTTTCATATGATTTGCTTATCCCCCAATGATTGGTGGGTTTAGGGGTGGGCTTTGGTGTCACGCCTACTTTTTAAAATCGTACATTATCATACAATTTAACTTGAATCAGCCACTAAACTTACAAAACGTAAAATAGACACGTTTCCTCACAAGATTCGGCTGGTTAACAGCATATTTGTTAACATATTTCTATCTACAGCTCATTGCAATATGCTAGAAATTAATGCTGATGTAGTGTTTAAACATACTAGCAACCTGTTAAACCATGCTAAAATATATTTGAGATACATGCTAATACATGCTAGCATCACATTCATTTATGGTGGAATAGTGTTACTCATGTTAACAACCTGTTAAAAGATGTTAGTCATTTTTTTAATCCTTTAACAGCTTTTTATATAACTTTCATAGCTAATGTTGACAAGCTAGCAATTGTTTTGTTTTGTTTTTTTGTTTTGTTTTTTTGTTTTTCAGCAAATTTTACTGACTAGCATTTTTTGTCATATTTTAGGACCTGATTTCTCAAAGATTGTATCTTTGAAGGACAATCCAGAACTATTTGAATCAGAAACAGAGAGAATCACCAGAATCATCAAGGGTTTGTGGCTTCATAACTCGTATTGATATGAGGAAGAATCAGATATTAAAGTTTTAATTGATTATTATTTTCTTCTCAGATGGACGTTCTCGAAAACGAGCTGCCATCAGACAACTACAAGGTAAGTGTTGGTAAAGCATTTTTATTAGCAACTAGTACTTATTCTTTAGGTCACGGGTCATCAACCCTGTTCCTGGAGAGCTACCTTCCTGCACATTTCAGTTGTAACCCTGACCAAACACACCTGTTTGTAATTATCAAGTGCTGCTTTAGGTACTATTAATTGGTTCAGGTGTGTTTGATCAGGGTTGGGACTGAGTTCTGCAGGAAGGTAGCTCTCCAGGAACAGGGTTGGTGACCCCTGCTTTAGGTACTATTGCTAAATGCTTTAGGTACTAGCACATGTGTAAAATATACTATTAATTATTCATAAGTTACTAGTTGTTATTTATTCAATACTAGTTTATTCATTTGACATTTATGCCTGTGAAATTGACACTGGCAGTTTTTATTTAGATACTTGTACATATTTACTAAATACTTGCATATTTATTATTAGCTAGTACTTGTTAGATACTGAATATTAGTACATTTTTAAAAGATGTTTGTACTTATTCATTAGATGTTAGTACTTAGTTTATTTTAGTAGTTCATTTAATTCATTGACTATTACTATAGTGTTGTTGTTAGTAACAAATAACTTATTTGTCATTGACTTATATCAGGGGTTCCCAAATGTTTCAACCCGCGGCCCCCAAAATAACAATTCCAGTGACTCGCGATTTCCACTATCCTTGGAGGTGGTTATAAACATACAAACTTTGCACACAAGAGTGTACACACACCAAAAGGAACTATAACAACATGAGCATATTAACATCACAAAAAGTGCAACAGTCATTTAAGTAATTATTCATTCGTTTAACCCTCTACTGCACGCATTATGACAAATCTATTAAAAAAAATTGTGTTTTTCTTTTTTTTTTAATGGCTTAACTTTAAGTGCTGTACAAATAAATTTGGAAAATGTTCTTTTTTTAAGGTACTATATGATATGTTGCCATATAGCAACAACATCCAACAATAGATCCAATTAAGAAAGCTGGAAGAGCCAGTTTTGTCCTTTTCCTTTATTCACTTACTGTAGAACATGGTGGCGCTTGCTAATACACTGTTCCCTGTATTCATATCTATTCAAAAGTAGTTTTGCCCTTAAAACTAGATTTTATCCATAATGCAAATGCCATTAACAGTAACTGTGACTAATCAACATTATATTACTAGCTTTCATATTGGTATTTTTACAATTTAAAATTTCAAAGCTGACCTAGCTAACCCATTGCAATATTGCATGTTCCACTATTGCACAGTGTTGCCATTTGGCAACACATATAGTACATTTGATCGATTTACAAAAAAATAAGTTGTGAATATGTCCTCATAACTTACTGGAGGTGAAGTCTTAGATTTTTTTGTGCATCTGACATAATTAGATTCTTTGCTTTTATTAATGTTTACATTTGCATTCAGCAACAACTCACAATAAACGCCAGTCTGTCAGAAATCACGCTACAGAAAAACACAACATGTCATGTGACTTAACCAAAGCACATCATTGGCTACACTAAGGTCTTCTCTTTCCAACAAACAAAATCATAATAATGTTGGTCTTAAAGAAACAGTGGCAGGGAAGTATCATATTGCCATAATAACATAAACAATATTTCTGTTTATTTCCCTGCCACTGCTTCTTTAAGACCTACATTAATTTCTTTTGTTGTAAAGAGAAGACCTTAGTGTACCCAATGACATGCTTTGGTTAAGTCACATTACTTTTTATCTTCTGTAGGTTATGGATAAAATATGGTAACTAATTCTAATAGTTAAATAACATGTATAAGATTTCTGGAAATAACCCCCACTCAGAGGGTCCTGACCTTTGGATTTTTGGAACCACTGACTGATATGTCAATCTTTCAATTGAGCAATCTGACCATCTGTCAGTTTGATTAGAATGTATTCCAATTGTGACTACTACAAAAGTAAACCTCGTTTCTCTGAACCTAAAAAGGTGCTCTTGTGACAGAAGCTAGAGCTGTGTTCTTTAGCCTTTAGCAACCGACTTGAGTCACTGGTTTGATCCCAGCTTGGAGCGGGTTGGGTGGTGTAGGACTGGTCACAGTATGTCTGATAACATTTTTTTTCTTCTGGAGAAAGTCTTATTTGTTTTATTTTGGCTAGAATAAAATCAGTTTTACATTTTGTAAGCACCATTTTAAGTACAAAATTATTAGCCCCTTTAAGATATGTATTTTTTTGAAAATAAAATTCACTAGATCGTATTATATAGATACTTATATTAATTCATTATTTAGTACCTATTTATTATGACTTATGATACACTAATACTTAACTGATAAGGTTGGTACTTACTAGATAGTTTAATAGATACTAATACATAATCATTATCTAAGACATTTTATTTATTACATGCTTATACATTGTAAATCAGTTGTAGTTTTTATGAATGACACACTATTATATATTCATTACTAGGGCTTTTTATTAGCTAGTAATTTGTTTGGTCTAAGACTAATTCAGTACATAGTAGTATTTATAAATAGTAAACGTTTTTACCTTTCTGGCCTAAAGTGCTTTCTTATCTTATGTAGTAACTCATCAGAATGTTTATTTGTTCCAAGTATCTATAAAATAGTTAGTTTACTAAATTAAGTACGCGTATCTAAAAAATTATTACTAATATATTTTTAATAGGTTCCAGTGTCTACGTACTTTAGTACCTATAAAGACTAAGCACTAGTACCTAAAGTGTGTGTGTGCCTGTGCGTGTGTGTGTATGTATGCGTGTGTGGATTAAACCACAGGATCAAGACGAAGAGCAAGACTGGTCAGACATCCCACCAAACCCACACAGTGAGATGAATGGAGACCCTGAGATCCAGTTTAGGTGAATGACAGTGTTGTAGAAGAGTGTGTTTTTGTCCTGAAAATACACAATCCGCATCGAATGTTTACACATTAAAAAAACCAATGTGCAGTAATATCTTGGATTTGTGTGGCATAAACACCCCACTTCAGTTCTGATAAGGGGTACTTGAAATGATGGTGGTTAAAAAAAGACATTGGTGGGTTTTGTTTGTTTTTAAGCTGTTTATATTGTTTCTCTGAATATATATAGTGTATAAGCCTTGTCACTGAGCTTGTCGTGATATTTTGTGGTGCTTGCGTTCAGAGACATGAATGCATTTTTAATATATCTTTAAGGCTGAGCAAAGCTTTGGCTGTTGTGTTTGTTTTAAATTATGTCCAATAACTGTCCATTTATTTCTGGTTTCTAAGTTCATTTTTATGGACATTTTCAAAAAAAAATGTTTTTAGAATTACATCTTTCATGACAATACTTTTTTGTATAAATTTCAAAGTCTCAATGTAGCAAAAAAATAAATCAATTTCTGCTTATAACTCTTCTTGTGACTATTGTATATCAACAAATATTGCAGCCTTTGATTTTTAATCTGTGCTGTTTAATATTTATTGCGATTCATAAAACAGTATAGTCGATTATCCTGGTGAAATGTATGCTTCAACATCATCAGTCATTGTCATTGTGGACTTATTAAATATAAAGTTAATGATGAACCTTTGATAATAGACGTAACCAACCAGGTGATTAATTCTCAGTTTCCACACATACACACACACACTAATTAAAAATGATGATGATTTGCTGTTCTTTTGGGAAATGCAAATATAGTGAATGCAAAAACTGGCACTGTTAACATATGGATTATGTAGCAGCATGCATGAATGCCTTTATACAAAGACACATGGATGGCTGTTTGTAAGGCGTAAAGCTTTTACCTCTTAATGTAGACAACCTGAAGCCAGACCTTACTAAAAACACATTGGGAGGATGAACTTGTCAAGTCTTGCAAGTTGCTTTTGCAAGCAACTGCCTACCCTAGCACTGTAAAAATGTATGAAATTGATTTAATGAGAATGAAACAGAAAGCGCGTGTCATCATTGAAGATTGTTCCCATTTCTTAAATATAAAATTTTAGGCATGTAAGACTTTTTAGGCAATCTCAAGTAAAGAAAAATGTGTCAAAAGTAGAATAGGGTTAATTGTGATTCATGTGATGGTATTGATTGTATTTGTGTTGTGTGATGTGATGTGATGTGATGTGATGTGGTTGCTGATGTAGTTGTGGACAATAATGTACGACATACGATTAAGTAATGGAATCAACATTATTTATCGTCATTAGATGTCTCTTTAAATTCATATTGCCCCACACTGTTTCTGCCTTTGTTTTTATTAATATTAGCCATTCTAGTGAAACCTGAGCTCAGCCGCTTTCAGCACTTCTCTTTAACAGCTCTTTCTGTAAATATGATTGAACCTGATTTAGCCTTTATCAAGCCAACAACAACTTATAAGGACAATAGCAAAAAGCCATTTCTTACACATCTGCCATAGATACATGAGTCTTGCGTAATGTGGCTGAACTTGCAGGTTCACATATGTGTTTTATTATTCTCAACGCATGTGTGCTCTTTCACGGGGACGATTCTGCAGAGCGAACATGATTTCTCGTGTTTGGAAAGTTGACTGAAGGGAAACTTGCTCAAGTAACCACACAAAACAAGAGTTAGAGTCCAGAACCAAATCAGATTCGGATGATTTCATACATGTGACAATCCATTTGCAATGGAAATCCAAAAAATGACTGTTTCCATACTGTTTTTTGTAAAAACATCAAAACATTCCCCATAATCAGACCCTTTTTGTCACTTATGTAACAACTCTGCACAGGGTATTTATATTCATATGTTCTGGGAATGTCCCCAAATTGCATTATTCTGGTCCAAGGTACGAGACCTACTATTAGATCTAATGAAAACTCGGATCCAGTGTGACTCATTACTTTTATCAATCTCCTTATTCATCAACCAAAGAAGGATTCTGTCCATTGTTCTGACTGCTGCGGGAAAAAAAAAATCCTGAAAATATGGCTGGATCCACTCCAGGTGGTGTCCATTCCTTTATGACCACAGTGTATTCATCTTCTGATGGCTATCTTCAGCAGGATAATGCGCTATGTCATAAAGCGTGAATCATCTCAGATTGGTTTCTTGTTGAGTACAATTCACTGTACTCAAATGGCCTCCACAGTCACCAGGTCTCAATCCAATAGAGCACCTTTGCGAAGTGGTGGAACGAGAGATTTGCATCATGGGTGTGCAGCCGACAAATCTGAAGCAACTGCGTAGTGCTATCATATCAATATGCTGCAAATCTCTGTCATAAAGGATTAAGGCAGCTCTGAAGGCAAAAGGGGTTCCAACACGGCACTAGTAAGATGTACCTAGTAAACCCGGTAAGTGTAGTTCAAAATCTAAAATGTTTGATAAAAAATAATCATACTAAAAAAAACATTCCCCAGGTCTGACATTGGCTGGTCAATGTATGAAAGAGTGAATCAATAAATGAATAGATCAACATATGAAATAAATGAATCAATGTCATAAAAATACTAAAATATAATTGTTGTTCATATTAAAATGATTTATTTGTTATCACTAAAAACAAACTAAAAAAACTCTCCATTGTAAAACAAAAACACTTGACTGTAATATATTTTTAAATCAGCATTAATGAGTAGCACCGCAAAGACCCCATTATTAACTTGGTGGTAAGTGGTCTGTGAAGTGGATCATAAAGCTGACAGACTCCTGTGTAAGAAGATTGTGTCTCTGATATCGGTGTGTTGGCATGTCTTTGATGCCAGTCATATATCTGACATACAGTAAAGTAATGGTGGCTGTGTTTCTGTGGTTGAGTGGTGATTTGTATTGAGAGTGAGGTGACGAGTGCTTCGCCTGCAGGCTTCAGGAGCTCCTTCATTAGACGGCTTCAGTACAGAGAGATGAACTCCAATAAAGAAAGTCAAAAGTGCATCTGCTGTGCCAGTGGCAAGAGAACTGAAGAAACACCATTTTACTGCATTCCTGCTGCAATGTGGGAATCCATGATCATAAAAATGATTGTTTTATTGGAGATTTTCATAGTCAGTTTAATATAATGAACTGTTATTTAGGATTTTAATCTTTTTGTACTATCATTTATTCTGTCTTTCCGTCTGTCTGTCTGTCTATCCCTCTGTCCGTCCGTCCACCTATCTATCTATCTATCTATCTATCTATCTATCTATCTATCTATCTATCTATCTATCTATCTATCTATCTATCTATCTATCTATCTATCTATCTATCTATCTCTATCTATCTATCTATCTATCTATCTATCTATCTATCTATCTATCTATCTATCTATCTATCTATCTATCTATTTTTTCCCTCTGTTTTTATAGTCTCTATGAATTATTAAATGTAGCATTTTTTTAGCTAATAATAACACTGTCTGGGGGATAAAACAGGATAATTTGTGTTATTTTTAACCCTGTAGCAGTTCTGACAGATTGGCTATGGAGGAACAGACTGTATTTCAAGTACCAGAAAGGAGGAAAATGTTGTCAATCAGCGCACAAAAGATTTCATCGAAGCATCCCAACCCCTGCACATGGAGATGATTGCTATGATTAGAAGATTTTACGAGAACAAACGAGTCATAAAACATACTGAAGTGACTGTGGTCTTTTTCATCATCGGGCTTTAGACCTTTTCAAACCCAGTTGTTCTGCTTCTTGCTGTCAGTGAAAGTTATTATAGTCTTTCATTTTTTCTTACTTGGAGAAAAAAGAAATGACTACCTTCACCTGGTGGTTAGCTTGTAATGTGTAATGATAATGGGTGGTTTTGAGGGCATTTATGTCCCAGTTCATAACTTATTTCTTAAGATATCAATGATTCATAACCTATCAAGTGTTACCAATTATTACTTAACAATTATTCATTGTAATGTGACAGTAATTCTTTAATTATTATCCCCAACTAACAATTTTGTACCTATAGATTTTTTTCTTTTTCCAAAAAATGGGCTCAAGGGGAAATAACAGTGTGCTTTAGATTCGGTAAATGATGGCTAAAAAAATTATATTTACTTTTGGTATCTACTGTATATACAACAGCAAGGAGTTATACAACACATTTTAAATGTCTCTTTTTATGAATAATAAAACTTCCTAAAGTTTTTAACAACAAACCCAATCTCATTGGAAATATGCTCTATGCACAGCTAGAGTTTTAAAGCCAATGATAAACTTTTGGTGAAAGCTAAATGTGACTATTTTGAATTTCACAAGGTTGTTTTTACAGCATCGATGTTGTAATGTAATTAGAATGCATTCAGTTAAATAGACTTAAGCATTCATTTAGTTGTTCAAGTGTAAAACGAGATGAAAGACCGCTGTAACCACTAATGCTGTCAATAGCAACAAGCTAGCGCAGAAATTCCATTGAAAATCCTGGTATAAGATCAACTGCCCTATTTTAAAGAGATAGTGAGGGGAAATGGAATTTAGTTCAGTGCTTCTTGTCCAATCTGAGACCCACTTCATATCGGAAATCTAACAGGCAGTGAAGATTACTTATTTTTAAAGAAATCAGATCTTAAACGTAATTTTGAAAATGGAAAGACTTTGGGCCGCCTGGCTGAAAATGAAAAGTTTGTGTGCATATAGCCCATTGTTATTTTATAAATCTTATTAGGTATGACTTTGTACACAAGATAAAAATGACACTTTTTTACAGAACAGTTTACAGTTTCTACAACTTGCTAATAATAAACCATTGATTAAGACTTTTAGCTCAATCAACCAATAGTATCTGGATGCAGCCTTTATGATGCAAGCTGAGATTGCATCACTCAGCGATGCAATGTCAGACACAATGCACTCAAATGGAGCGAGTGACGTCACTGTGATGGGTAAGGTTAGAGGTGGGGTTAGTTGAGCCGTTTTTGATTGCACTGCACCAGGTCTGCATCCAGACCCCTCTTCAATCAACAACTAATTTGCTGTCTATTACAGTTTTTCTCAATTAATTTGGCTCAATTCTCGATTTAAATTATTAGCTTATTGTTCACTTCAAATTGGCTTTTCTTATTAATTCAAGCAAACTGCCCATTTATTTATTATGTACTTTTAAATTGCTTTTTGGGACCTCTATCTTTTTTTCCAACAACCTTTAACCTTGAAAAGTTTGAAAAAGTGACTTTTATGAACCTTTTTAGTAGTTTAAAGTGATGTATTTTCTGAGTTTGTGTTGAATGTTACTGTACGATATAAAAACCTTGTAATAAACAGCCAGTACATTTGTTATTTTACAGACTTACTTCTAATTTGCTTCTAATTTATTTTACAGACTTATTTCTAATTTGCAACATCAAAAGTCAACAGAGCAGAGATCAAGGTCCCATAATGCAATTTACATCCTTAAATAAACATAAAAAGATCATATTTTATAAGAACTAATAGACAGCAAATAAGCAGGTACT